CCAGGACAGTCCGTAGGATCAGAGCATAGGACAGCATGATGAGGGAGGAGTCTAGGCCCAGTGAGAGGAGAATGGAAACCAGGCCGACCAGGCTGTTGATCCGGGTGTCTGAGCAAGCCAGTCCCACTAGGTCGCAGTGCAGACAGTAGCAGTGGGAAAGGGTACTGATCTGAGGAAAGATAAGACGTCGCAGAAGGATGGGTCCGGGGAGGTTGAGCAGGATGGCCCTTACCAGCACGGCAGCCCCAACTTTAGCCACTGCTGAGTGAGGAAGGATTGTGGCATAGTGTAGAGGATCCCGGATGGCAATGAAACGATCAAAGGCCATAGCCAGAAGCACACCAGATTCCACATAGGTGAAGGCATGGATGAAAAACATCTGTGCTGCACAGAAATCGAAGGGCAGCTCCCGAGTACCCAGCCAGAAAAGCCGCACCATGGTAGGGAAGGTGGAGGCACAGAGGCCCAGATCAGAGGCTGCTAGCATGGACAGGAAGATGAACATGGGTTCATGTAAAGCTGGATCTGTGCGGATCAGGAAGAGGATAACGCTGTTGCCCAGGATAGAAACCACACAGATGAGGTTGATGGGAATGGAAACCCAGTGATGAGAGGCTTCCAGGCCTGGAAAGCCAGTGAGGAGGAAGGTAGAGTGACCAGGAGTGCTGGTATTGCAGAACATAATGACTCCAGGAGGAAACTGTCCACCCTATGAGAAGGAGACCTTCATTCATGTAGTCACAGAGCTAGAAAGGAAAAGCTGACTTGCAGCCATTAAAAACAACCCTCCTCCTAAGATCGCTGGCTTCTCTGAATACAGTATTGTTGGATACATTGTCTGAGTCAATCTCTGATTACTGCTGCCTGTTCTTTAGCCAATCAGCAGCCACCTTCTCTTGGGCCTGAGGAACTTCCCTCTTTTACCTAAGTGAAACCTAAAGCCTAATCTTCCACAAAGCCTTCTTAGACTACATATCGAGGAAAGAATACTTCTCCAAAGAAACAGAATGAGGGAAGGCTGGTAAGATGGCTCAGCTGGTCTAAGTGTTTTCTGCAAAGCCTGAAGCCTAGGTTTGATCCCTGGAACATACACAGTAGAGGGAAAGATTCATATCTACCATTGCTCTCTGACTGCAACATGAGCACATGCACACACACACACACACACACACCAAGTGTAATAAATACTGTTCTCAACTTTAGGATGACAATATAAACAGAACGTATGGATTGCATTCTTCCTTAGAGGTGGGCTTCCCATCTGATATCTGCCATCAACCGTGCCTGAAAGGACAGTCAACCAACGGTGTATTTGCAGAAGCATCCCTTAGGAGGCTGCTTGCTCACTTGTCCAATGCTGTTATGTGTGTTTTCTGCATTTCCTTCTGAGAAATGCTTTAGGGAAAGAAAATAGGCCCTTTACTTAGTTACACTTTGTTTTTCATTGCTGCTAACTGTTCAAATGCATGGAGTTCTCTGTGGCGATTAGTATTCACATTATATAATAATCAAATCAGACACCTAACATTTTAAACATTTCTTTAAATTTTTGGTTAATGTGTAGTAATTGTACTTACCTGAGGGGGACCCATGTGATATTTCAGTAAATATGTACAGTGTATAGTGCTCAAAATACACTCTTTAAGTGTTTCCACTGTGGCGCACGCCTTTAATCCCAGCACTTGGGAGGCAGAGGCAGGCGGATTTCTGAGTTCGAGGCCAGCCTGGTCTACAGAGTGAGTTCCAGGACAGCCAGGGCTACACAGAGAAACCCTGTCTCGAAAAACCAAATAAATAAATAAATAAATAAATAAATAAGCTAAAAAACAAGGTTAGCACATTCAGAGGTTATTTATAAAAAAAAAAAAGTGTTTTCACTGATAACAAAGGCCCTGTGAAGATGAGTTTACTTAAAAGAAATGGTCAAGGTTCCCTCAGAGTCTAATAGACAAGGTGGGAAGACGCCAAATGCATTCCATTTTACTAGTGTTTTCCCCAGTCCTGTGTCCACCTCATGCTCTAATTAAAGTTTCCATGTGTGCTTCTGACTCTACCATCAAGATAGGCTCTGGGGCTGCAGAGATGGCTCAGCAGTTAAGGGCACTGTCTGCTCTTCCAGAGGTCCTGAGTTCAATTCCCAGCAACCACATGGTGGCTCACAATCATCTGTAATGGAATCTGATGCCCTCTTCTGGTGTGTCTAAAGACAGTGACAATATATGCAGCATATATATTAAAAAAAAAAAAAACGTAAAAAAAAAAAAAAAACCACGAGGTATTTTCAAGATAAGTCTCTGGTTCCAGACTCAACTAAAGAGCCCCTTTTCAGCCCGTACTACGAAAACTGTTATATGGAGTCAACTACCTTGACGTTCTCCTTAGCTGGGAACAGAGTGCTGAGGTTAACAGAGATGTCAGGCAAAGAAACAGAAGCTTCCAGAATCTCAGGATGAATAAAACTCTTCCAAAGAGCCCAGACTGGGGGGTGTGAGTGTTCCTGTTCTTACAGACTCACACATCACTGTGTCCCAGCTTCCCTCCTCACGACACAGCCAACCTTGTCTTGTCCCCTAAGCAAGCATGCTGAGCTACACTGAAAACGGAATGAACAAAACACTAATCCCTCCCATCCCTCCCCAAACCACACTCCATTTCTGGTGGGTACCTGTCTCCCTTCTTTTGTTTTATCTATTAAACACTCAAAAGACCAGCCCTTCCTCTCTAGAACACATTCTCCTAATCAACTAATCTTTGACCTGTCTCCTTTCCTCAGCTCCAACAAAACTAACCACATCAAACCATCATGATTTCTCTGAGTAACAAAACAGTTCCTTTGTCCCATTCTCTTCAGTCCTTGTATATTCCAGTTTGTTCTCAAAGTTCCAATTAAATTAAGCTCCAGATTTTTATTAAAAGTTCAGTATGAATAGTTAAATCATTACATATACAGTCAGGAATGAATAAATGAATGAACAAAGGGAGAAAGAAAGAAAATAAGGAAGGAAGGAAGGAAGGAAGGAAGGAAGGAAGGAAGAAAGAAAGAAAGAAAGAAAGAAAGAAAGAAAGAAAGAAAGAAAGAAAGACACAGTGGGTATTTAGCTTTTAGCAACTTTGTTTTAGCAACTCTGGCTTTGTATAATGAGCACCAATGTTTTCCTAATGCACAGAAGGGCATATCTAAGCAAAATCTCCATAGTCAATCACCCTTCTCCTAAGTATTATGAATTATTAAGATATCCTTCTGCTTATCAGATTTGCTATGTTTGATCATATCTTGTTTGGGGTACAGTATATGCACAAAAAAGTTTACATATCAAAAATGCAAAGCATGATTAATTTCCACAAAGTGAGTATATCTATATAACCAAATATTGAAGGCCAGCAAGATGGCTCAGAGGATAAAGGTGCTTGCTAGGCAAGCCTGTCAACCTGAGTTCACTCCCCGGAGCCCATGTAAGGGTGGAAGAAAAATCATCTCCACAAAGTCATCCTCTGATCTCTACAGTTGTGCCATGGCATGCTGTGTGTGTATGTGTGTATGTGTTTGTGTATGTGTCTGTCTGCCTGTCTCTTTCTCTCTCTCTCTCTCTCTCTCTCTCTCTCTCTCTCTCTCTCTCTCTCATACACACACACACACAATACATTTTTAAATAAGAAACCAAATAGTTTCAGAATCTCTAAGTCCTATGACACCTTCCAGTGACTCCCATCCTCCCACTATCCTGATTTATGACACCAAAGATTAATATTATAGATCTTGGAACCTTATGTAATTATAACCCTACAGTATACACTTCTCTGTGTAATTTTTTTGTCTATGACACATTCACACTGTTGTGTGTACTTATAGTTTGCTCATTCTCTTTGCTGGATGATTTTTCTATTGTGAGAATAAACAACAACAAGTATCTGACACCCAGTGCTTCCCTCCCCTTGTCAGTTCATCTTCTCATTTAGTGAAAGACTAGGAACCTCAGAGCTCAGGAAACCCACAGAAAAGAAGGCAGGAGTGTAGGAGCCAAAGCGGGGTGGAGGACACCAAGAAAACAAGGCCATCTAAATCAACTGAGAAAAGCTCGTATGAACTCACAGAGGCTTTAGCAGCAAGCCCAGGGCCTGCACAGGTCTGTGCCTGGTCCTCTTTCACTTTAGCACTCTATGGGACTCCTGAGTGTGTGAACAAGTGGGTCTCTGACTCTTGTGCCTGCTCTTGTAGGCTTTTTCCTTCTGTTGGTTTGCCTTGTCCAACTTCAAGGTGATGGTTTGGTTTTATCTTATTATATTTTATTTTGTTATTAAAAACCATATGCTGTTATAAATTCAGTGCATTGTTTTGTAGACATCAGGGTTTTCTTTTTTGCTTTACATTTCCATCAATGTCATATTTTAGGTTACAGTAAATTTCAATAAAGATGTATCTTTAAATGCTTTTTTTTAAATAAAGAAAGTTGGGGCACACTCTTGAGTAATGAAAACCCCAAATATATAAGCCCTTGGATGGAATCAAAATCCCATCATTCCCTCTTTTGCCTTTGTTTCTCTCTCTCTCTCTCTCTCTCTCTCTCTCTCTCTCTCTCTCTCTCTCTCTTACACACACACACACACACACACACACACATCTTGCTGGAGAATTGTGAGACTAAAGAGAATAAAGAAGGGTCTCTATAGCAGGCACCACTTTTCCTGTCTGAACCCTACAGTCTCCCCACACTGAGTGCATGCCTGTATGCTCTGCCTAAGCTGCTCTATCCCACAAGTCAAACCACACATGGGAATGGTTATGTGTTATACATGAATATGAGCAGCTATCCAGTCAGGGCCACAGTGCACACCTGCAAGGGCTGCCATGCACACTTCAGCCCATTGAGTGTAGGCTCTAGAAGTTGTGATGCTTGGCCTGAATTGTCATTGTGTCCTTTTGTGTAATAAAGGACTGTTACTGACATCACAGAGTGGTTATGAACATGGGAAACTGCACTGTTTTACACATTGTAGACGTGAGTGAAAGTGTAATGTTAACTATGCCTTAGACTAGGGTTTTACAGCCAGCATCTCAGGAAGTCTCCCACTTCCTAAAGCCGTTGAATGGCATTATCTCCTTCCTGACGACGAAAAATATCTAAGAGATAAAAACCCCTGTCGACAGCTCATTAGACCTAAGCAGAAGAAACAATACAATCCGACACCAGTGCTGACATGTCTGTCATTCAGTATTCTCCCTCCCCAAATCTTTTAAAAATAATTGTCTCGTTATAATGCACATACAGACACACACATACTTTTATATGTGTGTGGTTTAAAACAGTGCTTAGTGCTTGAGCACTGAGATGGCTACCACACATACTTCATGCATGTTCCAGTGGTGAAGTGCATCTGCAATCTCAGTGCACAGGAGGCTGGGATAGGAAGATTGTGAGCTTGGGCCAGCCCAAGCTACACAGTGAGCCCTGCTCTCAAAAATAATGGTAACAATAAATAATAATAAATTACATAATTATTGAAGACTCACTATTTTTGAGGTGGATAAAAATTATTCCCATTTTGCACATGGGAAAACTAGGCTACCAAGTAGTTTGTTAACTTGCCTAAGATCATGAAGTTAAGAAGTGAATGGCCAGAATAGAAATTGAGACAGTCTGATCCCAGAGGCTGCTTAAATGCTGTTATAATGTTTCTTTGTTACCTTAGTGTGCTTACTAACATG